AATTTTGACAACTACCCATATGGGTGTTGTCATAGGCAAACAAGTAATGGCAGGTTGAATCCTTATCCAGAAACAACAGATCAAGATGGACATACATGGCTAGTTGTTGTACACTACAAAGATAGAACTCATATAATTATGTCTTATATCTAGTCGTGACCAGCATTGTTGGTCGGTAACTCCTCGGGAACAAAACCTCGACTCCCAGCCACTTGGGATTGCCAGCTAAACTTCCGTCAGGCCCAATGAATGCCGCTCACATGACATGAGATACCGAGAGAGCCAAGCTGAAGTAGATAGAGTCATAAGCCTGAGTTGTGCGTATGGCGATTAGCGAGTATGACGCTGCACCGTGCGCAGAATCTCTGGCAAAGCGGGAGTCACAGCAATTTCCCTAGAAGTTTGACTCTGACCCACGGATCAAAGAAGCAGAGTTGCGCATCTGCTTGTCGAGCAAGCTCAAGCGTGTGGAGTCCATGTGCCCGGTGATGTCTTTCACCTGGTGCCTTCGCCACCAAGACTTTTCTTCTCGTCACACCTCTTCTTCTGAACACTTTGTCACCTCTTCGAGTTTTTCTGCTGACACTCACTAACCTAACGCGGTTTCCTAGCCATGGCTTGCACGGGGCCCATCGCGACCCGGTGTGCGCATCATTCCAGTCAAGCAGCTCCATCGACTCAGTCTTGCTCTTCACCACGTCCACAGAGCCTTGGGACCATTGCTACAGCCGCAAACACAAACACGGTACGAGTCTGTCGACCTCACATGTGTCTGTTGTAGGTGACAGCCATTCCACACAGCATCCTTCACCGTGCAGCTGAGGGGCACTGCATGGAGGAAACAACCTCCCACATGTCTTGCAGCTGATCGCCCCTCATCGCACGGGTCGGCAAGGTCAAGGAAGAGAGGGAAGGAAACGAGGTAAGAAGGGAGAGACACTGGCCCCGAGGCATCACAAGACATCGCCAAGTTGCAAGGGCAACGCTCTGCGCAACCTCAGCAGGACCGCTGACTTTTAAGTGAACCACAGCACAGGCTTTCACCCAAGTGCCCTATCGCCGACCCTGGCCCTGACGGCCAGTTCCCGGAGCCAACGCAGCGAGTGGCGCGGAAACCTCGCCCTGTAGGTGGCGCAGGTACTTCATCACGCTCCGTGGTTCAACCAGCCCTTGGCGGAGCAATCAAAACATCAGAAGTCTGGCATCAGAGCAGCTAAACTGTCTTGCAGTCGAACTCTTGTGCCTATGCTGCGGCATACTATCTCCCGTGCGAGCTCTGTCATGTCTATCGGCTTGGCTAGATGGATAGTGATCGGCATAGATCATGGCTTCGTTTGGTCCATTGATCCCAGGCACAGTCCCCACTGCTAGCATCGCGCGCTTCTGTCAAGAAGCCTACCTGGAGAGGAGAGAGGGCTTGCACTCTGAACGAGCGGGGCGCCTTGACATGAACCGAACCGGAACCGCGAACCAGAATCGACTCCTGAGGAACCGGTGAAATTGCAATGCTGGTTTCAAGAACCGCAAACTCGCGAACCGCGAACCTGCCAAACCGAACCGCCAAGCGTGTGCACTCTCCGGCGCAGAAGGTGCCGGGCGGTGGAGTCAGTTTTTGTTGCCTCTTCCGTCCCAAACGTGCCAAAAACTGCACGCCCCGCGAGGGGGAGTGCAGAACTTGGCGTTTCAAGCCCCGAAGCACTAAATTGTGTACTCCTGCTCGTTCCTCGCCTTGATTCGCCTTGCGTGGACACACCTTATGCCGCCGGAGCTGCTCGCCCGCAGCACGGTTGCCACAACGGGCTTCCGGGAGGATGTAGTGAATGTAGTGTGGGTAAGCTACCATCGTAAATTTATGAGAAATGCCAGGAACCGCGAACAGAAGCGCAGGAACCGCAATAGAAACCGAACAGCATGAACCGGAGCCGCCGCTTCAAAACTGCAAATCGAATTGAACCAAACCGAACCGTTGCATTCATGCCTTTAGGCTGGGCATGGCTGCAGTTTCGAACAACAGCTTCAGCATAGGATTAGAGGCCGCGGGCTGATTCGCCGGTGCTTCCTTGACGATCTTTTGGAATTTTGGGAACCCCTCAACCCCGTAGCAGAGCCTCCTTCAGCGGGGCCTTGTCTGCAGCTGCTGGGTCCAGGCGGGGCAGGAACTTGGAGGCCTGCTGCAGCCCAACTATCGGACAGAGGAAACCTAGGCTCAAGGGTCGGAGATCATTTGTGTGTGTGCGTGCATGTATGCATGTATGCATGCATGTATGTATGTATGCATGTATGCATGAACGTATGTATGTATATGTGGTCTGTAGGCGGGGTCGGCAGGGAGGGTAAGCAGGTAGGCAGGCCAGCATACGGATAGATGAGCATAGATATCATATGCCAGATACATAAATGCAGCATCATTTGTCAACATACATACGGGTAGTTCTCCAAATTGGGGTCCCCTTTTAGGTCCCCAATATAGTACGGCACCCTTATAAAAAGGACCCCAAAAAAGACCCTAGTTTAGAGAACTGCCCATATCTACGCTGCCTCAGGAGCACTCTCGAAAAGGGCGAGGCGGCGCTCGACTTCGTCCAGTCTTCGGCTCAAGGCGTCCATGGCCCCAGGCTAAGGCCCCGAAGGTCCCGAAGTCCGAAGCCCTAAACCCTAAACCCTAAACCCTGAACCGCGACTAAGGGCACCTGGTTCTGGGTGGTGCAGGGTTCGGATTCCTCTAGAAACGAAGCTCCGAACCTCTGGAGGCTGGCTTGATTCACACAGCCACGGACTGAAAAACGATATCAGGAAGACTAGACTGTGTGCATACATGAACAAGTATGAATTAGTAGTAGTAGTAGTAGTAGTAGCAGCAGCAGCAGCAGTAGTAAGAGCAGAAGCAGAAGGAGTAGAAGTAGTGGTGGTGGCACTGCGGTGCCCATTGGGATGATGCTGATGATGATGCTGATGCTGATGATGATGGAGGCTGATGCGGTCACGTTCTTGCATAGCTCCAGACCACACAATGGATTATGCAAGCCTTTCGCCTTGCATGCAACTCCCGAGACCATCTGCCACAGAAAATGGCTGTGCAAGCTCCGCATCTGGACAGCACGGCGAAAATTGACTCTACTGTCAAAGACCATCCTCTTTCTGGAATCTCTTTCTCTCGGATCTTGTCTCCAAGAGATGAAAATGTTGGGCATGACCCATATGCCGAGAAGGTGAATATGTGTCCATCTTGATACAAAGAGCTTCAACTAAGACCCCCAATGCAATAAGAAGTGCCCGTGCGGCGCATGTGCTTAAAGCTTTATGCGACAAGCACATCTGCGCTCATCCTTGAATTCCCACGTAAAGCAGGCCAAGCGCGAAAATCACCGCGGAGACAACTCGGTAGTCCCAACCTTGATAGAACACAGAAAGCCAGTTTCGGAGCTCTGGCCCTTCGAGAACCGTCGACCCAACCAAACGAAGGCTCTGGCCAAAGTCCACGCGGCCTCTGGGGGCTTCTTTCGGCACCTCGTGTGGACCCACTTAGCGAGTACTGCGAATCAGGCCCAAGAATGAGAGTTACTGATGCCGACGTTCTTGCTGCTGTTGCTATGACGAGCTGTGTTGATGGCCTTTCCAGTCTTGTATATGACTCTATCGTGACTACGAGGACGAGGCGGAGGCTGGTGATGGAGATGGTCGGGGTGATGCCGAAGGTCCACTTCCGGTCGGGGCCCGGGCCCCTCCGGTGGCCTCCATCAGCCAGTCCGGCAGCTCGCCTGGCGTGAAGCTGAGCTGAGCAGGACCCACTTTTGCTTCAAGCCGTACCTTCGGCTGGCTGCGAAGGACCCTTGGCTTGGAACTCTGACCAAACGACGTGCGTCATGCGTCCGGCGACTTAAATCCGGTTGCAGCAGAGGCACGCCCTGCTCGGGTATCTCAGAGGCAGATCGTGCAATCGAAGGCCTGCACTAAATGTGAAAGACACGGATGCCACGTGGGCACTCCGCACTCCGCCGCCTGCGCCATGCTGCCGGTCCTCCGAGGAAGCTTGGCCAAGACGAGACCTAACCAACACGAGCCTTCTCTCCGAAACCACAAGTCCATGTACTGGGAACATCTGGGAATCCAGCACAAAGCGCAGTCAGAAGGAAGAAGCCCACCTGGAGATGGTTGTGAGTTGTGATATTCTGCAGTCGGCTTGCGTTTGAGACGGCTCCCATGACACAGGCGCATGGACATTGAGCCACGGCACGGTTCTGCAGCTCAGTTCCAGAATCGATGGACGCTTCGGCAGAGTTTGGGCGCTTTGCGCTGGAACGCGCGCAAACAGACAGGCTCCCAGGCAGACACTGCAGCTGCAGCAACAAAGCGACAAGAGCGCAACCATCAAACCGCAAGCGTTCGATGCAACCCTGTCCGACGGTGGTAGTTGCTGCAATGCAAAAAACAAGCGCAGCGGCAGATCGCAGTAGTCAGCCTGACAGTCTGGGTGCCAGACTCGGCAACGTCGCTGCGTCATGCTTGGCACGCGCTCGGCAGGCAGGCGAAGTAGCTACACAAGTTCGGGGATTGATTGCGTCGGGATCAGGCCGAGAGGCTTCGTCCTGCTTTCGATGATTTATCCGTCGTCTTCGTGCATGACCCTTCTGAGCCAAGAAGCTGGACCAGACCACGTAGCCTGTAGTGCGATGAAACAGCAAGCAGAATCTGCAACTCTCACTGGTGGCATACCAGTTTCTGCCCTCAGGCTCCTCGAGCTAGGCCTTCATGCGCTTTGCTCATGTAACTCCATTCAAGTCGTATCTTAATACTCAGGAAGGAGTTGAGAGCTTAGTGTGATCAGGCTCCACAAGAAACATCAAGAAACACACACACACACACACAAACTTGAGGCAACGGTCCCGAGACTTCGGAGTCTGCGGCACTGTCGAACCCTGGCGGTGTCAGCAAGCAAGAAGACTGCTACCAATGTTCATGGTTGAGCCACGTCCTTTGATGATTATTGCGACAGAAACCAACATGTTGCAGCGCTCTGACTACGCTCCTGACTTAAATCGTCGCCATTATTACTCGTGATTACATCAGCATGGCCGGTGAAAACCGACATGATTCGTGCTGCTGGTGACGGTCCTGATGGTGGTGATTGTGCTGGTGATGAGGATGAGGAGGACGAGGACCAGGACGAGGACGA